CCATCAACTTCTTGGTCACCACTCTAACCAAGTCCCTTCTCCATTGATTCCTCAGTTTGGCAAGGAGCCCAGCTCTAAGAAGAGTCCTACTTGTTCACATCTTCTTCCATTGGGGATTATGGAGGCTACATGATTCTGTGAACCTTCAATGCAGCAGAATTTCCCCCCAGATCTGTGTCTTGACAAAATCCTTTCTCTGAGTTCTACCTTCAGCTGTTAGACCTTTTATTGAGAGGTGTGTGCCTTTCCAAATCATAGACATTCAATTGAATTTGCACAGGTTAACTCCAGTCAAAATGTAGTGACATCTACTTGATGTGGTTATTATAAGGCAGTATAACCAAATGTAAAAAAAAAAAAAAAAAAAAAGGGGGGAGGGAGGGGGGGGGGGGGGGTGGTATGATTACTTCCACAAGGCACTTATTTAAAATGAAGAATTATATATTTCTTACTTGTAAATATTGTACCTGTTCCTTATATATTTTATTATAATATTTGTATTTTCTGTGTGTTTTTAGGTATTTTATTTGTATTTTATATATTATATATATATTTTTTTTTTTTTCAATTTGGTCTCAGACTTTTGGACCCCACTGATTTATGTATGTGTAAGAGAGAAATTGATTGTCTGTGTTGAGTCCATTGAGGAGCCATTAACACTGAAGCATTTGTTGGAGCTCCTGGCTTTAAAAAAGCTAGGGTCCAATCCGCTAATTGCTATTGGCTATTGTCATGTTAAGTGTCTATCTCTAAAATCATTCTAACATCAATGGTTGCTGTCAAAAATAGAACAGTTACATAAACCTGGGCTGTCCGCCCTCATGTCAGAACAGATTTGTGCTTGAATGATGCCAGCAAAGAAATGTTGACATTTTTTTGCCAATCAACCATCAAACCCCAGGCCTGTTTGGCTCTCGTGTGCTATCTTTGTCCTGTAAAGCTTTATTGAACTATTGACACACAAAACACACTTATGAACTCAATTTATTTGATACGGTATAAAATACAGTAAAAACAGTTATATTTTGAAATGAATATATTCTTAAATATATTATTCATATCATATAAGTGTACATCATTTTGCACATTTCTTCATTTCTTTAAGGGTTAAACATTTGTAATGAGAAAACAATTACTGAGCACACTTTTAAATTAACTTGAGCTTCCTTACGAATGCATGTCTTTATTCTCTTTACTTGACTAGTATCATAAAATACAATAGCTCATATTTCAGTATGATAGACATGTTTTATGGGAGTATGTGAATCCTTATCTTCGAAGTGTTTAAATGGATGCACAACCGATGTTTTACCATTTACCATTTTTACACCCTGGCTTCTGTATTCCTCAATATAACCACATACACATATAAACACACAGTGTCACATTTCTCTCCGCAAACCCTTCCTGCTCCAACTCTCTCATTAAAGATATCTGTTAGATAGAGCATGGCAGGAGCTTATTGGCTGTACACATCCCCTCAGTCTCAGTCACTCACCCTTTGAAGCCATGCTACCTGTAAAGGGACAGATGCATTGGCAAGGCTTTGATAACAATGGCTCTACACATTCTTACACGAGCTAGAGTGGACTATTCTCAGGTGAATAGTACACTGATATAAGAAACTTCCATGGCTCATTAACTGCAATCTGAGGAAGGCACATATCACAGAGAGATCATGAGCCACGCTCTGATACGTCTGAAGAGACGTCTTCAGGTGTATTGCAGCATTCTTTATCAGTGCAATCTACCCAGATGCTAGAATTATGGGGTGTAAAAAGTACAGAGAAATATATTTAACCGTGTCAAAATTGTACTAAACTCAAGTGTCAAGCCAGCTTTGTGAGGTTTTTCTCTTTTTTTATATATAGCAATTCTGACTTTATAACTCGCAATTGTAAGTTTATCTCATAAGTGCAAGAAATAAACTCAGAATTGTGAGATATAAACTTGCAATTCTGACTTTTTTTCTTGCAATTGCAAGGAATTATGAGGGGGAAAATCTGAATTGTCCCAATCATCCCCTCAATTGTGAGGGGAAAAATCTGAATTGTGAGAGAAAAAGTCGCAATTGCCTTTTTTATCCTTTATTCCGTGGCGGAAACAAACTCCCATAATAAAATGCATAAATGTAAATGCTTCCACAAGAAGCAGTCTATTAGTCTATTAGACTTTGCAAGGCTCACACCAGATGGTAAACTGAAGGGTCTATCCTGGAGTCTGTTAACTGACATTGTTAAACTTTAAATTCAGTAGCACCTGATTTTTTAGTTTGTCTTCAATGATGGTTAGAATTAAAAACCATTTAGGTAAATGTTGTGATAACTGTTGCAATCTGTTCAAAAGATGAATGGTCATAGCTGAGGCATTTTACATCGAAATCTTTATTATATTTAGTCATGCTAAGCTGAAAATATGTATTTTTAAGGGCTAAATGGAATTGTAAGGAAGGAGTAAAAATATTTTCTTTACGTCCCTGCCGGCGCATCAGTGTCTTTGTGGATCACAAAGGAGTCGTTTCATTCGTGGGATTGACTTGAGCATGCAGTCACCAGGCTCGACTGGGTCTTTTTCTGTATTGTTAGTTCTTGTCTTTATTTTGCTCTGACACACTGAGAAAACAGGATTTATCAGGCATGACAATCAGATTAGTTCCTCGGAACATTCCAGCATGATTTCAGGTTCCAGCTAGTTTGTTCAGGTGTATGTACTGTAACACACATACGTACATGAAGAGGAATACTCTGGTGTCCTGCATACACTGTACATGTGTGTTGCGAGATATGCAAATCACTTCACATATTTTGATCATCATCAAACCTGTAATAGTGCAGATTTGACCATCTGAAACTATGCAGTCAATGCACTTATTCACTTGACTGACATGGTCTGCATGTCTCAAATGACATGTCAAACTCCCATGTGACCCCCATTCAGTGTATTTAATGTTTCTACATGTTTGAAACGTCCTTTGACACTGAATGCCCTCAGCCAGATTCCAGTGACTGTGTCCTGGCTGACATGTACTAGGGTCTCATCCTTTAACCTTTAAAATGGCATTACAAAATCTCCACCCTCTCTATGTGTAGTTTTTTTCCACTCTGCAACACGGAGCACAAACTTCCCCCTGTGCAAAACAAACTATCTGTGCTGGGGCAAGTCTCTGCAATCACTGCGATTCAGATATCATCATTGTGTGCATGCTCATCCTGAGGTGCTTGGCACATCCCTAGAGTCTACTAACACTCAGCAGAGTTATCATGTCCTCTGGCTTGTTACGTACAGAAATCAGCAAATCTGAACGATTACTTGTGACATGAGTAATGACTGCTCAAAATTCAGTTTGGTCATTACAGGAATAATTTACATTTTGAAATATGTTAATAGAAAACTGTTATTTTAACTTATAGTATTTCACAGAATCAGTTTGGTCAAATAAATGCAGCTTTTGTAAGGAGCACAAGAGTCAAAATCATTAAACAGTTTTACAGATCCCAAAGTGTAGAACAGTATTGTCCATGTTCTAAGTAAATGGAAGTATGGGGATGAATTTCCATTCAAATTTTAAATAATCATAATAATTCTCATTATTTTCAGTGGTGATGGTTGTTAGATTTTCATTATTGTAACCATTGTTTTCTGTTTTGCAATAAATTAGTTAAATTGTATTCTGCATTACAGAAATTAGATCTTTTTGCATTATGTAATGTGAATTGGGGAGAAATATGATTAAATTAGCTAATATAATAGATATCAGCCATGCCAGGCTAACTTTTCGGGAAGTGGAATAAATAATGCTCCCAGTTTGGGAAAAAAGATGGTCAAATGGAGGTCCCTTGAACTTGGACCTCAATATATCAGAATGAATATATGTTGTGGTGATTCCCAAGAATCTCCCCTTTACAAACTCCAACTTTTTTCTCTTTTTTTTTTGCGTGCTGTATTTATGCGTTTATGTGAAATCACTGCAGAATTAAATGTGGTCCTGTTTCGACCAAAACTGTTAGTCGGGAGCTCCACAGGGTCATTATTCATGGTCAGGCTGCTATAGAAAAACCTTTAGTCGCTCATGCCAATGCCAGATGTCGATTTCAATGGTACCAGGTGAGGAAATCTTGGGCTAAGGAAAATTTGAAACCTGTATTGTTCTCTGATGAGTCCACCTCTCTCTGTGTTTCCCACATCCGGGAGAGTTACAGTGTGAAGAAGCCCCAAAGAAGCTTACCACCCTGGCTGTTGCATGCCCAGAGTGAATCACAGGGGTGAATCAGTGATGGTTTGGGCTGCGACATCAGGGCATTCCCTATTGTGCTTGTTGGGCTCATCACAGCCAAGGACTACCAAACCATAATGGAGGACCATGTGCACCTAATGGTTCAAACACGGGGTGCCATGTATCAGCATGATAATGCACCAATACACACAGCAAGACTTGTGACAGAATGGTGTGATGAACATGAAAGTGAAGTTGAACATCTCCCATGGCCTGCACAGTCGCCAGATCAAAATAGTTTTTGAGTCACTTTGGGGTATTTTGGAAGAACCAGTCAGAAAACATTTTCCTCCCCCAGCATCACCTTTCGGTTTCATTGTACAACCGTGTGTGTGTGTGTATGAGGGCTCAGAATGTTGATGTGCATGTTGTTAAGGGACAGCTTTTAACAGTTCACCTGAGGCTGCTGTCATATTTACCTGCACAAATGTTCTGCCCTGAACACTCCCTACACCTAGACCTATATTCAGCCATCTCAGGAATGGAGCAGAGAGCAGCTTGAGCTATAAATGCGGCCCAGTGCCGTATGTTATTGTTGTAAAGGTCTACAGAAAGGTCAGGCCCTCAAGGTCCCATAGATCAGTTATCAGCTTACTGTCTAACAGGCGTGTCGACCCCTTCACACCACCACTTTAAACAGCCTGGCAATTTATAAAAGAGTTTAAACAAAGCATACAAAAATGTGAAATATGGTCTAATAGTTTTTTTTCCCCCTTCATCACTCCAGAGATCTGAAGCTGGATAACATTCTTTTGGACGCTGAAGGCCACTGTAAACTGGCTGACTTTGGCATGTGCAAAGAGGGCATTCTGAACGGGGTCACGACCACCACCTTCTGCGGGACCCCTGACTACATCGCACCTGAGGTACAACTTGTAAATCATAATAGACAAAACCAGCAGCTGAGGTGTTTGATATTATTTTTAACCTCATTCTTGCGTTCTTCTTGTTCAGATCCTCCAGGAGTTGGAGTACGGCCCATCGGTGGATTGGTGGGCTCTGGGTGTCCTCATGTACGAAATGATGGCCGGTCAGCCTCCGTTTGAAGCTGACAATGAGGACGACCTTTTTGAGTCCATCCTCCACGATGACGTGCTTTACCCCGTGTGGCTCAGTAAAGAAGCCGTCAGCATTCTGAAATCTGTAAGCGGCCATTTTCTTGAAATCTTTTCATTTGTTTGTGTATGTGGTTTGTGGTTGGCCCATTTATCATTTCTTATTCAACATCTGTTCAGAATCTTTTCTCTTCCTGCAGTGCATTGAGCTCCACTATATGGTCATGCACCTGGCTGCAATTTCCCTCAGACCTCTCCAACCTTCCTCTGTTCATTTTACTCCCTTTTGTTCCTCATTCATCCCTCTGTTCTGGTACATTTACCTCTGACTTACAAATACACTAATTTTGTGGCATATTTGAAATCTTTGACAGGATATTATGTGATTTCTTTCCTTGTGTCTAATGTTTGTGCACCAAAAATTCATGAATTGTCAGAAAAGGCTTTAGCAACATAACCTGAAAGGTGTTGTAAGCTGTTTTAGCCGCTTTGCTAATTTCCACCAGACTGATTTAGAACATTCAAAGCCAAACCGCATGGCCTCTCAGCAAAACCCGCCCTCCAAAGACATGTCCTCCAACCCGATGTCAGCAAACATGCATAATGATTGACAGGCAGAGAGGGTTTCTGATTGGCTAGGTTTTTGAGTAACACTTTATAATAAGGTTGATACATAGGTATCATGAACTAACAATAAACAAGTTAACAACCAACATTTTTTTGTATATATATACTGTTGCTCACAGTTTATGTTCATTATACACTTTATTGTACACATTATTATATGACATAATTAATAACAATTATTTACCATTTTAAATACTATACATAATTGTAAATTATATATATATATAAATGTATAATTTTATTATATATTTTATATTTATTTTTATGTGTTCATTTTTATTTTAATACAGTAATATATTATATATTGTTCAAATGTGGTAGTTAAATATGATATACTGTTAAAATGTATTAGAATGTATAAAAATGTTTTAAAATGAATAAATGTTATTAGCACCTTATTGTAAAGCGTTACTTTTTTGTATTTTGCTAAAAAGGTTGTTGTTTCCATTTTTATTTTTCCATTTTTGCTGTTAGAAAGACAATTGTGATTTCTTCAGGACTTTTTTCAGTGATGTCTGCCTTGCATTGCATGTGTGGAATTTCACAAAAATTGTTTACAGCTCCTTACACACACTGTTCATATTTACCACTTCTTTGTGAATTATGTAAAATGACATTTATTCCCTTTCCTCAGTTCATGACAAAGAACCCGGGTAAGCGCCTGGGCTGTGTGGTGACCCAGGGGCTGGAGGAAGCCATCAAAGTCCATCCCTTCTTCAGAGAGATCGACTGGGTCCTGCTGGAGCAGAGGAGGGTCAAACCCCCCTTTAAACCTCGCATTGTAAGCATACATGCTTTCTCATACATTGAACTCAATCCTGTAAGCGCACCCATTTCTATAGAGCATGACACTTGCAATGGCAAGGTTATGGGTTCGATTCCCAGGGAAAGCAAGGACTGATAGAAATGTACTGCACTTTATATACCTTGAATGTAATGTAAGTCACTTTGGATAAAAGCATCTGTGTCTACTCAATTAATGTAAAATGTAAATATAAATCACAAAATGCTTTTAATGACACAGCGTCACAACACGCCTTTTTTTTCTGCTAAATGCTCCGATACAGCATGTGCACATTGACTTTATCTCTCATGTTCCTCTGTCTTTACTGTCTGTGGTCTAGACTGAAAGTCGGATGCCACAACGGCACTTCTCGACTTCTGCTTTCCCATGGCGGGGGGAAGGGCTGATGGTGTTGTGTGTATGCGCGTATGTGTATATGTACACAAGTGGGTGCTTTAGATCGAAAGGTCACAGAAAGTTTGAGAGAAACGTGACCGCCACTTGCTCTCTTGCCCTCTGAGTAACATTGAGCCGGTTGTTCTGTCACCACGACGGCTTACCAGCAACTCTCTACATTTACATACGCACCTGTGGCTTTTAACTGAAAGTCTCTAGGCAATTTCTTAGAACAGCACCTGGGTCAAAATATGATCCTTAAAGAGTTAGTTCGCCCAAAAATGACATTTCTGTCATTAATGACTCACCCTCATGTCGTTCCAAACCCGTAAGACCTTCGTTCATCTTTGGAACACAAATGAAGATATTTTTGATGAAATAAAATTTCTGAACCAGCTATAGGCAGCAACATTATTGGAACATTTAAGGCCCATAAAGCTAGTAAAGACATTGTTAAAATAGTCCATGTGACTAAAGTGGTTCAACCTTAATGTTATGAAGCGACGAGAATACTTTTTGTGCGTAGAAAACGAACAAAAATAACGACTTTTTTCAACATTTTCTTTTTTTCTACGTCATTCTTAGTGTTTACGTTGTAAATACAATGCAGCACTTCTTGGTTTTACGTCAGAACGCTGGCTCATTATTGGCCGATGCTGTTCAAGTGAGCATCACGACGCATGTGTGTGATGCTTGCTGACGCAGGAGCTGGCCAATAATGAGCCGGCGTTCTGACGTAGAACCAGTAAACACTTGTTTTATTATTATCATAATATAAAGGGTTAGTTTACTCAAAAACTTCTGTCATCATATACGTATGTCATTCAAAACCCAAAAGACTTTTGTTCAACTTTGAAAAACAAATTTATATTTTTAAAAAAATCTATTTTTAAGTAAATCTTTTGTTTACAGTATTTGATCTGCTCAATGTATGTGGATAGATCAATGTTGCATGTGGATAAAAGCCTAAATTAAAACTGCTCCTTAAAGTTAAAGTGTTTTTTCAGAATATTTGGATTAAACTCCAATTAATATGGATTATTTTTATGATCTTTTTGAAGCATCAAAGTTTTAGTGGAATGGACTTTCAATGGAGGGAAAGAAAAGTAGTATTTGTGTTTCGAAGATGAACGTAAGTCTTATGGGTTTTGAACGACATGAGGATGAGAGAATTAAAAACATGTAGTGAGCAATGCCTTTAAAGTTGATCCTCAGAAAACCTTCATACAAACATGTATCTATCTCTCTTTTGCTATAGAAAACCAAGCGCGATGTCAATAACTTCGACCAGGACTTCACTCGCGAGGACCCAGTGCTCACGCCAGTTGACGATGCAATCATCAAACAAATCAACCAGGATGAATTCAAGGGCTTCTCCTACTTCGGAGAGGAAGCTTTGTCTTAAAGCCCAACTTGACATCTGTCAGCTTAAATAGAAGTTAAACACACCCACAAACACTCAAAAACCCACATCGCATCGCAATACATGAACACACAATCCACAGATGCGCTGAAGATGGGGCTCATACCAGACCAGAGCAGAACGGCCAGTCCCTGTGGTTCACTTCCCCTTTACTGCTGTTTTTGCTCTTTTATTCTTCTCTATATCTCCAAAAAAGAAAAAAAGTACTGCATATGGATCTCATCCCAGGCCTCAACGAGTTTGACAACCAATCAGAAAACGAATGTTCTCCAGAGCCCAAGAAGGAAGGGTTGGAACGCACTACCTTAAACCAAAATTGACCATACCAATGATTGTACTACCATTTCGGACACTGGTTGGGTTTTGGTAATCCCCTGATGGAACGGTTGTGCCCTTGAGGAAGAATTTACCCTGCATACGTGACAATGAGACATTCTGTGCTGTGCAGTCAAATGCCTTTTTGTGTATTCAGGTGACATTTTGGGAGCAATTTTATAAAATATACAAAGACATTTGTAGTATATATATATTCCATCACAGTGTTTTCAAGGTTCATTAGGAATGATAACCTGCTGTATATGGGTTGTGTTACGAAGTGTCGGCCTGAGTAGGTGTGTGCATGACATGTATGTGTCCGTGTGCATGTGTTTGCATGAATGAGAGCGAGAGGCCTTTGCCCCTTCTGAAGCTCTACAGGTGTTTTCATGTTGTTTTGCAATTGCTTTTCATTTGTAAAGACTGTGGTGTGCGTGTGTGTGTGTGCCGTTTCCCACCGCTATGCATAAGATGGTATAGTTGTGGGAAGACAGACGTTTTGTACAGAACGTAACATGTACATAGTATTCGCTCCAAAAGCCTGTGAAAGCTTCTTAGAATAGGCAATCGTTTGCATGGTCTTGCAAATTGTGTCGTTATTGAGTAGCATCAGTTTATGGAAAGACAAACATGTTTTTGATATCTATGTGCAATACCCTGAACAGATTTCCCCCCAATTCTTTTTGAATTTTTCTGTTGTTTTTTTTTCTCGTGTGTGCTGATTTTCTCGTGTTCCATAGGTTAGAGCTTCACCAAAGGCTTTCACTCTCTCTCTCTCATGCTACTCTCTGCCATTCTCGTGTACATAGTTTTCTGAATTACATAAGCTGTGGAATGTAGTGGAAAATGTGTGCGCTCTTAATTTATTCAATTTACATGTAGCTATACGCTTCCTTTTTGTGTCAACAATTCAATCGTCTTTTTGTGTTACTTTATTTCAGGCGATTAAGCCTTGTTACACACCGTAGATCTTTCAAACTATTCAGTCTCGTTTTAAAATTTTGTGAACCCCATGTATTTGAATCATTTACTTGTGCAATGTGAAAGGCTCTAAAGTAGAGGTGAACTAAACGACAAGGGTACATTTCAGGCGTACTAATTAAAACCTTCTGGAATGTGATGACTTTTGCTTTAGCGATTCAATGGCGATCTGAAGATGTGTTTTATTGTTCTTTTAAGTGGTTGCTGACTTTAAATGTTTATTTCCGTCTGAAGTTTCTTTTTGTTTGGAAATGTTCCGTTGCTTTTTTTAACCATGTCTGTGGGTTGATTATGGTAGCTAGGTCAATGTTGCCGATTGTCTTTGAAGCCTTTTCTCTCGCAGGCACTTCCTGTCTGTCGCCCTCACTGTATCATGCCAAATGTCTCGTTCAGCTTTATTTTCTCCTGTTGTTTCCTTTTAAAGTGTAAAGGAATTAACTTGATGTATAGGATGCATCCATGGTCTGTCTTCAAAGTCAAAACAATAAATAAACTAAGAATTACCTCTTAAAATAAGTGCAAAGATTTCTCTGGCTGAATATTGAATATTTGCGCATACAGTATTAAAATACATAAATGTTTCATATGTATGATAGTTCTGTATTACATACATCTGGTATTGGACTTTAGTTTCTGTATGGTGAAGCTTCATGTGCACAGAGGTATTTCTTTTCTGGATACACTAGCGTTATCTCATTGTAAGCATTTTACTATGTGCCAAATGTACTGTCATCTAAAGGATGTGAATGTTTAACCTATTAAACCCTAAGATGTATGAAAAATACTGTGTTTTGTTGTGATATGTTGAAAGAGTATTATGTGCACACACCCATACAGAGGAAACAGAACATCAAATTGCAAAAGTAAAATATGTGAGTAGAGATTACTTGTAAGTCTAAAACTGTAATAATGTCCTCACAAATATAGTGAAACATTAAAAACTGACTTGTAAGGACATTTAAAGTGTTTTATTATTATTATTAAAAATATATATGTTTTTGTTTTTGTTTTTGTTGAATGATTCACAAATCAGCCAAGTCGTGTTTAAATCTGCTGAAACCATGCAACAGGTTTCTCAGAGTTTTTTTTTTTTTTTTTTTCAACAATTCTCACCAAAAACAGTGTCAATGAGCTGTTCTCTCGCTAATATGGTGAAACCAACATGCAAATGAGTGCATTATTGCAATAGGTGTGATGTAAGCAGTTCAACAGTCATTTAAAGAAAAGGCCTGAGCTTAGAGATGCAAACTTTTCAAAATATGTGGCTTTCTCTAACCGTTCTGATACACTATTAAAATTAAACCATTTTGATACACTCTTAAAAATAAAGGTTCTTTATTGGCATTGATGGTTCCATGCATGGTTCTTTAGATTATTAAAAGGTTCTTCACACAAAGAAAACAACATTTCTTTTTAGAACTGATAACTGAAATGTTCTTTAGGGGAGCTCAAAATGGTTCTATGTGCTGTGAAACCCCCTTTTGGAACATTTATTTTTGAGTGTATGACAGTCACAATTGCTGTTTTCCATCAACTACGTGGTTCCTACGTGGTTTAAGTCATAACAGGGTTAAAGGGGATCGATTACATGTTTGTTTACATAGCCTCTAATCTGTCTTATTAAAAGGGAATGGCTCCAGGACAGAGTTGAACTAAAGTCAAATTTGATCCAGTTAAGTCCTACTCCTGGAAAAGACGCTATACATTATTTATATGGTCGACGGTCATGTTTGCTTGTTTATCCACGTTTAGCCCTGGTGAAGTTTTGCTCATTTTGGATCCGTCTTGGACACTTCACATGGGATTGCCTTTTTTTATTTATTAATACGCGACTCTGAAACTGAACTTTTTTCACGGCCAAATGCTCACAGAACTCGCGGAGCGCGCATGACGTGTGACTGGGAAGCCAGAGAGTCTCGGGATCGCGCGCGCGCGCTGGACGCCAGCCGCGAGATAGTCAGTACGCGCAACACAGGAGTGGTAGTCCTGATAGCACGCGCAACACAGGAGTGGCGCTCACGAGCTCTTTATCAGCGTCCGGTCAGTCAGTGTCACTGGAGAGCTAGTGCGATCCTCGGCAGTGTTCTGAGACTGCACTAACTGCTCCGGTCATTACTGGGAATGTCATGAGAATGGACATTACGAAGGTGAAATAACAAAATAAAGGCATTTGTGAGAATAATACGCGTTTTTCTTCTTTCGGAAAAGTTAAGGGAATTAATTAGCCTATAGTAGGCTACGCAGGACAAGGTTGTCTTCAGCATTGGCGCATCATGACAGCCGAGAGAGAGAGAAAAAGGTAAGTCGCAAGAAATCATTTTATTAGTGCTTGAACTATCAGTTATGAATTTAGTTTTGTTGTTTAGCTTAATATGAGATTCTCATCTGAGATTTGCTCTGGCACTAGAGCGAAACAAATTGCTGTTTTAACAAATGAGCCACATCGAATTAAAGGATTCCTAATCTTACAAGTGTTGTATTTGAACTGCTATTTCCCCTCCTTTTTATATATTTGTAACATAATCTTACCCTCAATTCTAGATAGTTTCTTAAGACTCTGATATTGGAGAGGTCCGCGCGGAACCTATTTTTGGCTCGCTCTTGTTAAATGGCTTGAAAAGTTATTAAAATGTCATCACCAGAGTTGCATTGCTAAGAAATAACAACGAATGACACACTGTATCTCAATATGCCTACGGGTTAAAAAAATTAGATACAAATAATTATGTTGCAATCATGATTGGACATGTTCAAAATACATTCATTATATAAAACAAATCAGTTTATTAAACAAATTGACCCTCAGAGACTATCAGACTGAGAATAAAAATAACTAATAATAAATAACTACTTGTTGGAATCAAATGTCATACTCCGAAAAATATTTTATAATTGAGCATATGTTTCTTTGTTTTCATCCATCATCTTTTTTGTAATTTCTACTCGTTTCATGAATTTCTAGAGCGCAATTTTCTTATTTAGTAATTCATTTCAAAGTGGTCAAAAGAGTGCACTGAACTTAAAAAATTAAGGCAGCAATTAAACAATATTTTACAATCTTTTTTAAATATTCAGATTTATTTCAGAATTGTAGCTATTGTGATATTGTCTCTAACCTGAGTAACATAATTGTTAACCATTTAAAAAATCTTTATTGTGTTTGTTCTTTTGCAATATATTGAAAACAGTTTACAGTCCATTCGGACAATCATGCTAAATTTAGAAGAAAAGGTCAGTATGAAGTAGTGCAAACATAATGAAAAAGTTTTTTTTTTTTTTTTTTTTTTTAGTCTGTAATTCACCAACTACTTCTGATCTTTGTCAGTTTAATCTTAACTATTACACTAATACATAATTTAATAATATATCATTAGCAATAAATAATACCTTTATTTATTGCTGTTTTCCAAACACATTTTGGGATCAAATTCACATGAATTAAATCCCATTTCAACATTCTACTCAGATACTGAGCCCTCTCTTTCACTGTCCCATCCTCCGGTCACTCAAATGTCTTTATCCTCCAAGATACAAACCCATTTAAGAATATCCATCAGTTGTCAAACATATGCATTGTTGCTCGGTGTAAATTGTGACATGGTGATCTGCATGGATGACATTCTAAATTCAGATATTGCCAGATAGTAAAATAAACCAGCACTGGCTCTCTGATGCTAAGGCATATTGAAGATGGTTATATGTTCCTCCATGTGTTTCTTGCTGGCTTGTTAACAGGAAGGTAATGTTCCAATTGAAACTGAGATTTTCAGATCAGGGCTCACCTCTCTTTTTAATATGGACTGCGTGAACAGGCCATGATGTGTCCCTGCTCTGGTTGCTTCCATCACTTTATCCGATTCTTATCTCTTATCTGGTTTGTTTAACTTGCTCTACGAGTTTTCATTAGCACTGTGATTTACTGTGATGTGTTTTGTAATTGGTGCCAGTGGGGTAAATGTAATCATTTAACTGTGCTGTTTTAATGTCATACATCAAAGCTTGGCTGCACAGAAGCAATTTGCAATATAATACATACGCAATAGGATTATTCTGACACCCATGGGTTCAGTTATCATATTGTGTTTAACACTGATTCTTTCATTGGTTTATTAGCTGGGAAACTAAAGGTTGGCCATCTCTTTGAGGTTTGGGAAAATAGGATTATCTGTAGTGAATGGCTGCTCTGTACAGTCTGGCTTTTGGCTTTCTGTGAACTCTGGCCTAATCTGGTTGTGAGGGGATATGCAGAGAGAGATAAAGGCAGGAATGGGTTCACATCGGCCTGTTAATCACATGATCTGCTCCCTTTGACAGGTTTTGTCTTGGTTGTGCGTGATGACGCCCGAGGCAATAGGGGATAGTTACAGCTATCTTGCCATTGTGTTTGCTAGGTCATTAGGAATCGTGACAGCTCTTAAGATCCTTTGCTGAAATACAGACTATTCTCATGTCAGCTACCTGTTGAGAGGCTGATTGACACTTTTAATGTAAAGAACACTGCATGTTGAGAACAGACGGGAGGGGCTACATAGCTGTCGGTCTTGTTATTTTGTTCTAGTAATTCCACAAAAGGTGAAAAGATTGTAAAAGAGGGGACAAAGAAGTGAAAACGGCCAGCAGGCCTCTGTCTTCAGGCTATACCTTGACCTGTTGCGCATCTCTAATACAGAAGTTATTTAGCCAGCTAATGTCGAAAGCGTTTGCAGCGTAACTGGGGGTTGAGGTCAGCAGCTGGACTGTGTGGGAACAGAACTCAGTAGCCTTGTAGAGGGCAGAGGACACAACTCCCCTTCATTTGATAGATTGAATCCAGTCTGAATGAGGCCAAAGGGTTTGTAATAACTACATCTTAGCAGAGAGATAAACCTTTACGCTCAGCTCACATCCAAGGAGTGTTTGGGCAGTGTAGATCTGGATTGTTTTACTGAAAAAATAAGTTAGGACTCAGAGTTCGCACATTAGGTGATGGTTACTGATTTCAGCTGGCTGTGAAAGAAATGCTTCTATGGTTTAAACAAAACCACTGGAATGATCAGATATGTTTTTGTTATTATAAATCAAGTCTAACATGTTATGGGCAATATGCATAATGCTGATGGGATTTTTAAACATGTTAACTCTCAACAGGTAGGTTACATCGATATGCCAGTAAAGGTGGCGACAAGTGACAGTCTTTGTCAGTGAGTTATTCATTCGGACCACTGATTTATTCAGGAATAAAACAAATAGCTTATGACTGCTGTCTTTATGAGCGAGTCATTGAATCGTTTACTCAACCGATTAGTTTAAAATACCGATTTCTTTAGAACTAAACTTCACTATGGTGTCTTCTTGCAGATATGCAGAAGTTTATTCTGTTTTGACTTCGTTTGCAAATAACTATTTTCGTTGATGTCCATAACAAAAATAGGCAAGGTAACTGGAAACTTGTCTCTTAGTTACTACAAACTTCTAGTTTGTTGAACTTGCTCTTGCTTAAGTGATATTGATTACTATATTATTATAGATTTATTCAGTTATGAAATGTGAATCAAGTGACATTTCTGGCATTGATAGGTGTAACTACTTTCAAACTCAAGAGATCCTGGGTTCTCTGAAAAAAAATTGTAGTTTCTATTTTAGTTTATAATGTTGTCTTGTGTAACGATCACCAATGAGAGTGGGTTTGTTCTAGTAATTCCACAAAAGGTGAAAAGATTGTAAAAGATAACCATCGGAGGGCACTCCAACCCGGACAATCACCACACATCCACATACTCCATTCCCCATAATCCTTTGCCCAGACCATCATCCATTATCACATTCACCTGTGTCTCATTATCCTGTTTAGCTCACATTATAAAAGCCTGGTTCATTCTGGTAGTCTCTGCAAAGTCTTGTGTGTGTCTCACTGCATTTCAGAGCTTGTTTGTGACCTTGGTTCTCTTGAGTCCTGGTTCTCTTGAGTCCTGGTTCTCTTAAGTCCAGGTTCTCTTGGGTCCAGGTTCTCTTGGGTCCAGGTTCTCTTGGGTCCTGGTTCTCTTGAGTCCTGGTTCTCTTGGGTCCTGGTTCTCTTGAGTCCTGGTTCTCTTGAGTCCTGGTTATCTTGAGTCCTGGTCCTCTTGAGTCCTGGTCCTCTTGAGTCCAAGGTCCTCTTGAGTCCTGGTCCTCTTGTGTCCTGGTCCTCTTGAGTCCAAGGTCCTCTTGAGTCCTGGTCCTCTTGTGTCCTGGTCATCTTGAGTCCTGGTCCTCTTGAGTCCTGGTTCTCTTGAGTCCTGGTCCTCTTGAGTCCTGGTCCTCTTGAGTCCTGGTCCTCTTGAGTCCTGGTCCTCTTGAGTCCAAGGTCCTCTTGAGTCCTGGTCCTCTTGTGTCCTGGTCATCTTGAGTCCTGGTCCTCTTGAGTCCTGGTTCTCTTGAGTCCTGGTCCTCTTGAGTCCTGGTCCTCTTGAGTCCTGGTCCTCTTGAGTCCTGGTCCTCTTGAGTCCTGGTCCTCTTGAGTCCAATGTCCTCTTGAGTCCTGGTCCTCTTGAGTCCTGGTCCTCTTGAGTCCTGGTCCTCTTGAGTCCAAGGTCCTCTTGAGTCCTGGTCCTCTTGAGTCCAAGGTCCTCTTGAGTCCAAGGTCCTCTTGAGTCCTGGTCCTCTTGTGTCCTGGTCCTCTTGAGTCCTGGTCCTCTTGAGTCCAAGGTCCTCTTGAGTCCTGGTCCTCTTGTGTCCTGGTCATCTTGAGTCCTGGTCCTCTTGAGTCCTGGTCCTCTTGAGTCCTGGTCCTCTTGAGTCCTGGTCCTCTTGAGTCCTGGTCCTCTTGAGTCCTGGTCCTCTTGAGTCCAAGGTCCTCTTGAGTCCTGGTCCTCTTGAGTCCTGGTCCTCTTGAGTCCTGGTCCTCTTGAGTCCAAGGTCCTCTTGAGTCCTGGTCCTCTTGAGTCCAAGGTCCTCTTGAGTCCTGGTCCTCTTGAGTCCTGGTTCTCTTGAGTCCTGGTTCTCTTGAGTCCTGGTTCTCTTGAGTCCTGGTTATCTTGAGTCCTGGTTATCTTGAGTCCTGGTTCTCTTGAGTCCTGGTTCTCTTGAGTCCTGGTTCTCTTGAGTCCTGGTTCTCTTGAGTCCTGGTTCTCTTGAGTCCTGGGGTTCTCTTGAGTCCTGGTTCTCTTGAGTCCTGGTTCTCTTGAGTCCTGGTCCTCTTGAGTCCTGGTCCTCTTGAGTCCTGGTCCTCTTGAGTCCTGGTCCTCTTGAGTCCTGGTCCTCTTGAGTCCTGGTTCTCTTGAGTCCTGGTTCTCTTGAGTCCTGGTTCTCTTGAGTCCTGGTTCTCTTGAGTCCTGGTTCTCTTGAGTCCTGGTTCTCTTGAGTCCTGGTTCTCTTGAGTCCTGGTTCTCTTGAGTCCTGGTTCTCTTGATTCTCTGCCTGTTCCCTTGAATTTGTCTCAGCCCTGATCTGTTATTGTTTGGATTGTTTGCTTGTGTATGACCCTTGCCTATCTGGATTACGTCTTTGGATTACCCTTTCAAAATAAATACTGCATTTGGATCCTCAACCTTCTTGTCTCAGAGCAGTTTGTGACAGGTGGGTTCATGTTTTTCCATGCATATCAGAATGAGGGAACAATGAGCAATGTGCAAGCAAACTGATGCATTGTGCGAATTTCGTAGTGAGCAGCATTTTAAAATACAAAGCATAAAAAAATTGTACACATACAATATCATGCAGTTTGTCTGTTATATCTTGTGCTATAGTTAAATTAAAATGGCCTGCTATTTAAAAAATGTCCTTCTTGACATATGATTGACACTTGCATGAACTTAAGATTGTGGATAGTTTCCAGGAAATGATAAGAAATTAGAGCATTTGTAAAAGGGCAGATGCTGTTAGAGATTGTCTGGTAGCTCTAGATTACATAAAATCATTTTATTAGTGTTTTACTGCGTAGAACTTTAAGTTCTCTATAGCTGTAAATTAATTATATAATTAAATGTATAAGCGCTCAAGCTCTGGAAGGACATCATGCAGAATCCGCTGATGTCAAGGAAAACAGTTTCTCCTTTACCCCCCTCAAATGAATGTATTGAACATGTGAACTCTGTATGAGATCTTTATTTAACCATTGTGTCTGTATTTTTAGAGCTGCACTTGATTTCTGCTCATCAAAACCTGATGAGGTTTCATATATGGTTGGAGACAGACGGCAGTAACTGTTTGGGTTGAAATGGAAGTTGCCATTCCTCATTTAGCCTTGAGAAAAAACAGACAGAAAATTCATGTTTAAGTCCCATTGGTTTGACCTATGAGTAAAAACAATCAGCCATTTATTGTGAGAAGTATCCATAGTTACTATTACAATGACCATTTTTTTCTGAAAATGGGGGTAGTTGAAGGGCAGAAAGGGGGCATGTTGAGGTTGCCAAATATGCTGCTGTATTATAGACGGCTGATTATCGCATTCCTGCACCCCCGCACTGTACTGTGCACATTTTACAAACACTCCCAGAGCCGGGCTGACCTGAGCCGGGGAATAGGGGACCCACACTGGGAGGCAGCTACTGGAATTACACCGCTAGATCCTGGTCTCAGCATTGGCCTCCCACAGACACTGAAACTTAGTGCTGCATACAGGCCACGTGTTGTGTGTTGGTATCTGTGTTAGTGTGTTATTATATGTGACGCATTAGAGAGCACTTGTGGTGTTTCGCCAACAAACAGTCCTGTGGCTTGGTTTTTGTTTTGAGGGCACAGTGCACTGTGGCACACCGCACTCAGAGGCCATTGAGAGTTCACTTCTCTATGCCACACTCTCTTTCACACACTGGCAAGCCACAAACCGCAGAAATCTTTCACCTGGCAAGATAAATGTTCGCGCATTTTTATTTTTCCTTTCACTCTCATTTTTACATTTTCATTTAATAATATTAGAATTAATATTAGAATAATAATAATTTTAAAAAAGCATCAAATCAGCATATTAGAATGATTTCTGAAAGATCACGTGACACTGAAACCTGGAGTAATGATTGCTGAAAATACAGCTTTGCATTACAGGAATTAATTTAATTTTAAAATATATTAAAGTAGAAAACTGTTACTTTAAATTGTAAGAATAATTCCCAATATTACTGTTTTTTTTTTATTTACTCTATTTGTGATCAAATAAATGCAGCCTAGGTGAGCAGAAGAGACTTCTTTCAAAACTATTTTAAAAATCTTACCGTCCCCAATCTTTTGAACTGTAGTGTACTTGACTTGATTATACTGTATAACATGCTAACAAGCTCAAGATAGACATCTGCATGAGCCTGGCCTTGTGACCTGACCTGACCCGGCCCGATCTGACTGGTACTGTATTTAATTTATTATGTCAAATTTTAAGAACGAACTACTCTTGAACCTGTAATGACTGTTTTTCCTCTGCATGCAAGGAAAATAAACCCCGATGCACAGATTCTCACAGGTGTGGTTTTTGCAATGCTTTTGCTTTGACTCAAAGAGGACATCTATATTTTCACAAAAAGTATGCTCAAAATAAAACAAAATATTTTGAATAATAGTTTATTTTTATTAAAATGGACCCAAACCTGTCCCAAACTCTGGCAGTTTGTCAACCTGGGCTGAGATTAAGAAGCATTTTTGCCAATTTTTGTTTGGTCTAAAAGTAATTTTTCATTTTTATGAACATTTAGCTTTGCACAGCGAAATTTCACGGGTGAAATCCAATCATTTCAATGTTAATCCGTGCAATCTGGTATTTCACATGAGGACGGAATCATTTTTACCTCACGGATTTTGCATCGGGTTCAAGTTTGGTGAACTTTGGCACACGAATTTGCCATGTTGACCAATAAAAAGCTGCTTGGTTTAGAAGTGACCCCTGCATGAGCAGTGCTTAATTTTTTGTTAGTAGACAACAGATTTGTTTTCTTTTCTTTCCCCACAAAGTTACCCTATTGTGACAGTGCCAACAAAAAGACAATCTTCAATCAAAGTTAAAGTTCATTGTTTTACTGTCCACATAAAAATGTATTAAGAACAATAAATAATGTAATGTACAATTAATGTATGTGAGTATACTTTATATCTCTCTGATCAGCAATTTAAAAACATTGACTGCACACAGTATCTGATGAAGCTCAGCCTGTAGGCTATGTTGGTTTCATCAGCCTCCTCTGTTTTCCAGGCATCCTTCAGAAAGGCGCAAGGAAAAGTCTCGTGATGCAGCACGCAGCAGGCGCAGTAAAGAGACTGAGGTGTTCTATGAGCTGGCCCATCAGCTGCCGTTACCCCACAGCATCAGCTCTCACCTGGACAAAGCCTCCATCATGAGACTAGCTATCAGCTTTCTGCGCACACACAAACTCTTCAACGCAGGTAATGAGTTGTTTAATAGGAAGTTCTGTTTGTTGTCACCTTGGTAGCTGCTTTACATATTGTTGTAAAAGAAATGGTTGTATACATTATTTCCAAATTTACAGTAGCTGCTGTTCAAAAGTTTGGGGTCTGTAAGATGTTTTTATGTTTTTGAAAGAAGTTTCTTCTGCTCATTAAGGCTGCATTTATTTGATCAAAAATACAGTCAAATAGTGAAATATTACAACAATTTATTGATGTTTTTATTGTCCTTAAATGTATAATTTATTTCTCTGATGGCAAAGCTGAATTGTCAGCATCATTACTCCAGTTTTCAGTGTCACATGATCCTTCAGAAATCATTCTGATTCGGTGCTTAAGAAACATTATCAATGTTGAAAACTGTTGTGCTGGTTAGTATTTTTGTCAAAACAGTGATACATTTTTCTCCAAAGAACAACATGTTACTGTAATATTATAAATGTCTGTCACTTTTAATCAATTTAATGCATCCATGCATCCAATACATAAAAGTAACCCCAAACTTTTGAGCTGTAGTTCATGTCTATCCAAACTTGTGTTTGTGTTAGATATTTAGAAATAAAATAATGTTGTTTTATACTAAAAAGATGGGTTCAGGTTAGTTATTATAATTAGCTTTTCATAAACACAGTAGAGGTATTTGGTGTGTCCTCATTTAGACAGCTAAGTAAACATGTTTATGTGTCAGTGAAGTTGGGGTGGGTAGGTCTATGATATGTCCTCACTCCTTAATATATACAATAAGAAATGCAGGAAGACAGACAAAGAGCACTGCACATTGTTTCCAGACTCCAGTCCTGACGCACATACATGTGTACAGTATGTGTGCATGTCTCTGAGAGAGAAGGGGATTAAACAATGAAAAGGGAAGAGATGGAATCTGGTGTGTGATGTGGAAGTGGGTGGGGGAAGATTGATGTGTGTGGAGAAACAGGGAAAGAGAGAGATAGCGAGGTGTGGGGTAATTAGGGGCTGCTAGTGGTATTGTTTTCTATGAACACTGTACAGTGAATTCTTCTCACACTCTTTTCTTAGCCACAATAATCTGTTTTGGCGCCTTGCGGGTCTGCCTGTGATATTTGACGTGCTGTACAGTATGTCCGTCTGGATGTTCTGTTTTATTCTTTGACTTTTGATTCTGTAGGTCACTAGATTATAAAACTAGAAGCTGTATAAACTGATATGTTCATTGTTGAGGTGTGTGGGACTGTCAAATGCATTGTCATTAAATCATAATATCACTTATAGGTGTTAAAGAGGTTGGCCCTGTCCTAAATGGCACACTTCATATGTACTTGCAGTCTTGTGGACTTAGAATGGCTGCTGCGTGCGTGTGTCCCTTAAGTCCACAAGACCGTAGGCCGTGTCCCATTTGTCATTGTAGGTTTCATAAGGGTGCTCGATGCGCACTTTTGCCCGAGAATGCAAGCTCCCTTGCAGACTTATACCCGACAGTCAAAGTGACATTACGTCAAAAAGTGTGGACTTAGAGGAAGATTGTGAGGGCTTAGGGTTCCGTTTGGGACAGGACTGTTATGATTATCATCTAAACCATATCTCAGTCGTAATCTTTCTGCCATAATGAACTTACCTCTAGGAGTCATTGGGGCATCATATTATATCCTGAATTACTAGAAAGTCCTTCTGAAGATGTGAATCTTTGAACCCTCATTAGCAAATGGCCCAGGACAGAAAAGCCAAAGTGGATAATCTCCTGTCAAAATGAAAAATCACAACTCGTATCTCTTTAACAACTCAGTTGTTTCTCCTTGACAGCAGTAAGATGAAATTGGGAGCAAATGGAGACTTGTAATCAAATTTCCAGCTTCTCTTTTGTGTCTCATTTTCAAACGGCTCAATTTTCAATAGAAAGTTCTGTAAAGGACAATTCAACAGTATTAGAATAGTAACAGAAAAGGATTGTCTCTTATAGGGAAGACAATTCACAAATGACCGTATTAAACATCTCAATTGTGTCTCCTAGATCGCAATGAGCTTAAATGAAGAGCAAATGGAGACTTTTGTCAAGTCTCCTGCTAATCAGATTTTCTAATTTTTAAGCTAAAGACAAAAAAAATCACAAATTGTTCGTAAATTTGAATATGAGCTCAAACATTTATAATCAAATTCTTCCGAGACCAATTGATCTGAGCTAGGCAGATTAAATGTATTGTCCCATGCTCTTACTGTAAATAATCATATTACTATCACTCAAAAGTTTGGGGTTAGTAAACATTTTTTTGAAAGATGTTTCTTTTTTCACCAATGCTGCATTTATTTATTATCAGTAAAAGAGTATTATTGTGAAATATTATTGCAATTTACTGTAAAATAACTGTTTTCTATTTTAATATATTTTAAAGTGATATTTATTATGTGATGGCAAAGCTGAATTTTCAGCATCATTACTCCAGGGTTCAGTGTCACATGATCCTTCAGAAATCATTCCAATATGCTGATTTGCTGCTCAAGAAACAGTCCGTATTATTATGATCAATGTTGAAAACCGTTTATGAATGTCTTTACCATCACTTTTGATCAATTTAATGTGTCCTTGCTGAATTTTTTTTATTAGTTTAAAAAAAAAAACTTACTGACCTCAAACTTTTGAACTTAAACAAACCTAAATGAAACATACTGTACTGTAACTTCCTGAGACATGAAAGAGCAATATATCAGAGAACCACAACCAGAGGCCTAAATGATTCTCATAGAGATGGACAGAGGCTAAAAATTATGAGTTCTTGGGTTTGGCTGAGAGCCAGAGAAGTAAGACATAACAGTGAAGTATTTATAGCATCAGAACGAATGCAGCGGGGCTTGAGGTGGGAGCGCAGACATGGACCACCTGCTGATACCTAAACTCACAATGCGGACACACAGTGCTGATGTCTGAGCAGGGTCAAAGCCTCAGCGCTCAGGACCTCAGTGCCTGATCTGAATGAGCATGGGAGGTCTTATCTGCAGGGAAGCAGACATGAAACTCACAGCATGGAGCCTCGCTTTAATTATTTTCTCAAGTTGTTGATGCTTTTCATGGCATTGTGTACCTCAAACATCCCCTCTTTGCTGATCAGCAGAATAGCTCGTTTTTATTCCATGTTACTGTGTGAATTTAATTTGCTATATAAGTCTGTTTAATTGAATTTGGGATGTTTACTTTTTTTGTGACGCAAAATGGTACAGGATATGAGTCTATGTTTGTGTAGTAGTGTGTGATTGTGCCTTAACATTGGATTTGAGATGGTCACTTGAGTTTGTTTTGATAATTTGCCAGTGTAAATTACAACAAAAAGACCCAATTTTACACTGTACAGACACAAATACTAAGTTGTCTTGTCTTTTGTCCCAGGCCGCACAGTGCAACAAACCCGGTACCAGGATGACAGTCAGTTGGACAGTCTATATCTGAAGTCTCTGGAAGGCTTTGTTGCTGTGGTAACATCAGACGGAGACATGATATTCCTTTCGGAAAACGTCAGTAAATTTATGGGCCTTACGCAGGTGAGTCTCACCTCATTTCCCTCATTCTTTCAGAATAATTACAAAGAGAAAACCTGTAAAAACCTTCTGTTACTTAATTTATAGTGGCTGAACATTTCATTTTACTTGCCTCACAAAATGTTATCAGGTGGAACTGACAGGCCACAGCATCTTTGACTTCACTCACCCCTGCGATCATGAAGAAATCCGAGAGAATCTCAGTGTCAAATCAGGTGAGCATTTTTTGGATACACTGTTACCTTTAAAACCAAAATGGCTGAATATCCTAGTCCTCTTTATCTCTGGGTGCAATTTGCCATGGAGATGTCCTTTACTGATTGCACTTATCGCAGTCAGGATGTTACATTTTGTACATTCCTGTGGTGGTTCGTGTGAAGACAAATTCTTTTTTTTTTTTTTTTTTTTTTTTTTTACAGTCAGCCTGTAGTCTCTTCTGTAAAGACTTGAGGTCGGGCTATAATTTTTCCAACCAGTGTTCGGAAAGTTCGTTTGTGCAGTTTTTGTTTCTGTAAAAGCTTATATCTATCTATCTATCTATCTATCTATCTATCTATCTATCTATCTATCTATCTATCTATCTATCTATCTATCTATCTATCTATCTATCTATCTATCTATCTATCTATCTATCTATCTATCTATCTATCTATCTATCTATCTATCTATCTATCTATCTATCTATCTATCTATCTATCTATCTATCTACCTATCTATCTATCTGTCTATCTATCTATCTATCTATCTATCTATCTATCTATCTATCTGTCTGTCTGTCTGTCTATCTATCTATCTATCTATCTATCTATCTATCTATCTATCTATCTATCTATCTATCTATCTCTGTCTGTCTGTCTGTCTATCTATCTATCTATCTATCTATCTATCTATCTATCTATCTATCTGTCTGTCTGTCTGTCTATCTATCTATCTATCTATCTATCTATCTATCTATCTATCTATCTATCTATCTATCTATCTATCTATCTATCTATCTATCTATCTATCTATCTCTGTCTGTCTGTCTGTCTGTCTGTCTGTCTGTCTGTCTGTCTGTCTGTCTGTCTGTCCGTCCGTCCGTCTATCCATGGCTAAAATATTTGGGGAAAATTTTAATTGTAATTTTATATATATATATATATATATATATATATATATTATATATATAATTTATTTATACATTTATTTTTTTAAAGAACTCCATGTTTTCTGTGTTTGTTTGTATGACATATAATTTGAATCACATTTTTTGTCCAAATTGTGCAATCAATTTGAATATAATTCAACAATAATATTTAATAATAATAATTATTATTGTTATTTTATGAATAATACATTATTATTAAATAAAATAAATATATATATATATATATTATTAATTAATTATTTTCAATTTAACCATATTATTAAATAAAATAAGTACTAATTTACTATTGTAATAATATTATTTTACTGCCAAATAAAATAATAATAATTTGATTTAAAATAAATACAGCTGGACTAATCCATTGTCATAAACAAGGGGAATTGTTTTACTCAGTTTTATTATTTTTCATTAGTTCATTTTGTTTAATTCAATTACTTACAGTTTAATTGCAAATATAAAAAAAGATGTTTGGCTTTAAAAAGAATTATGGACTAATAGCCAGGGCACGAATTATTCAGTATCCGTAATTATTTTAGACAATGACAGGAATTCAGCAGACTTAATTTGAATAGTTTCAGTGCTAAACATAGCTTGTGAATTTTATACTTTCATATGGTCATTTATTGGTACCAAACTTGGTGTGAACTCTGGCCCAAGTTTCTGTAAATTACCATTTCTGTTGCTATCATGTAAGCAGTGTGTGCTTGCACACAGACACACACTCATAATGACAGTAAGTGGGCCTTCCCCACAGCAAATGTTCCTCCTCATCTTGTTTTATCTGTCTCTCGCTGTCTCTTCCTCTAATCTTTCACGAGCCTGTCACCTGATCTGTTTAGAGCTCTTGAGCAAATGATGTAATTTTCTTGCCATTTCATTGGCCACTTGGAGATAATTCCCATGCAATCAATAGCCCATAGAGCTCAACATACTATAGTTAAGGTTTCGACAGACTGATTCAGCTTCGGTTGAACTTTGCACCTGGGATCCACGACCCACTGACAGAGCAAAGTCCACTAAATGTGCTAGAAAAAAAGCTTTATGGTCAGCACAATGGTCAATTATAAATACAAAAAAGATTTTTAAGTAAGAGGTGTTTAATTGGCAGGACCTGTGTATGGCAGAAGAGGTAAAGACATGAGCACGGGCAGAGATTTCTTTATGAGGATGAAGTGTACGGTCACCAACAGAGGTCGCACTGTGAACCTTAAATCAGCCAGCTGGAAGGTAAGAATGCATAAGGATATCATAAAGCTTCATGCAGCGTACACATGCATGTGCTATAAGGTAAAACATTGTGTCGCCGCTCTGTCTTTCAGGTGCTGCATTGCACGGGGCATCTGCAAGTGTGCAGCAGCCGACCCCCTCAAGTCCTGTGTGGGTTTTCGGAGCCACCCCTCACATGCGTCACTTTGCTGTGTGCGCCGATCCCACACCCCTCTAATGTCGACACACCTCTTGACAGCAAGACGTTCATGAGCAGACACAGTATGGACATGAAGTTTATCTACTGCGATGAGAGGCAAGGGACTGTTCACTATTTAGAGTGTGAATGCACATGTGTATGTGTGTTTGTGTATATGGGTGTGCGTGCGCATGTATGGGCCCAAAAAATATCTGAAGCTCTGAACACAATACACAGTGTCTGATGTATTTCCTATTGAGACAGGTGTAGAATATATCAAAAGAACAGTGATATTTTTTTATTTTTTTATTTTATAGACATTAATTTATTAGCCACAGACATTAGTTTTTTACATTAGTTTACAGCCATTAATCATCAAGTTCAAGTTTGTTTATTTCTAGAGCACATTTACTACCGGCTTTTGGCCGACCAAAGTGCTGTACAACAATCACAATACAATACACATTGCACCAACAACCTTCCTATCGTCAGTCAAAATATGGTGCATTAAAAAAAGAAAATAAAAGTAAATCAAAATAAAAAAATAATAATAAAAAAAAGTAGATTACATATTAAAAGCTAATCCAAACAAATAAGTTTTTTGCGCTATTTTAAACTCAGATAGAGTGGAAGCCATTTTAAGTTGAAGAGGGAGATTATTCCAAAGAGTGGGACCCGCCACTTCAAAAGCTATATTTCCCCTCTTTTTCAAGCGGGTTCTAGGAATAAGAAGGAGGGATTTGTCTCAATTCTCGATTTGGAGTGTATGGGTGAAGTAAATCTGATAAATAAGTTGGTGCAAGATTGTTTAAGGATTTGTAGACTAGTAAAATTTTATAGTCAATTCTATATTGAATAGGTAGCCAGTGAAGGGATCTCAGAAGGGGTCGTTGCATGATCAAATATTTTACCACCCTTCAAAAAGCGCGCCGCTGCATTCTGAACAACTTGTAATCGAGAGATTTGACTCTTAGAAACCCCATAGTACAGAGAGTTGCAATAATCTAGCCTGGATGTTATAAAGGCGTGAATAGCAACTTCTAGAGAGGCATTGGATAGACAGGATTTTATTTTGGAAAAAGAGCGAAGGTGAAAGAAACTCGAGCCCACTACGATCAAATTTCAAGTTTTTATCAATTACCACACCTAAGTTACGAACTTTTGCTGAGATAGTAAGGTTTAAAGGATCAAGGTTAGGTAAATGTTGACTTCTATGTTCGGAGGGGCCAAAAAACAATAGCTTCTGATTTATCTGAGTTTTAAAAAAAGATAGTTTTGTGAGAGCCATGCCTTCACATCATTTAAACACGCTGATAATTTACTAACAGCATTCTCATTACCACTGGTCAACGGCAGATAAATTTGCATGTCATCAGCGTAACAATGGAAGGCTACATTATGTTTCCTGAAAATGGATCCCAAGGGAAGTAAATATAAGGAGAAGAGAGTGGGTGCAAGAACAGATCCCTGTGGTACGCCACATGATAGTTTGCGTAATGATGAAGTAAAATTTCCAATTTTAACAGAAAAAGTTCTGTTAGTTAGGTAAGATTTAAACCAGTTTAACACCACTCCACCTAGTCCTATATAAGACTCCAGTCGGGAGATGAGAATTCCGTGATCAACAGTATCAAAAGCTGAAGACAAGTCCAGCATGATTAGAATCATGATTTGCAGGTGGTTTTAGAGGGAGGGACATACTCAATCTAGAATTTGATTGGACAAATATCATTGTAGTTCAGGATGAGTCAAACTGTATTTATTGTCTGAAATATTATGTGTGTGTCTGCGTAAACTTATGCTACCATTCAAAAATTTGGGGTCAGTTTTATTTTATTTTATTTATTTTTTGTTAATACTTTTTTATTCAGCAAGGATGTATTTGAAATTTTAAATCAAATAAATGCAGCCTTGGTGAGCATAAAAGGCATAAAAGACTGACCTCAAACCTTTGAAAGGTAGTGCAATTTTGTGAACATTTAGGAGTACAGTAGCATATGGATCGCCACACATGGACTATCAAAGCTCTCATTTAGATTTAATTTAAGATCACTGAATATTTGGTAAACAGTGCTGTTTTTCGTTTTGCGCTTATGTAAGTGCATGTAAGCAGCATTAGTGAGCTAATATGTGTGTTTCAAAGGTCACTATTGGGAACTCTTATCCTAATCATTTTGTGCTACTACCTGCATTGTTATCAGTGTGTGGTAAGGGAGAGTGATTATGAGCTTTTCTTGTTTTCTTGCTACATTTCTTGAAAGCTCCTAAGGGGCACAATTGACTTCTCTTACAAATCTTGCATAACAAACCAGTGGAGTTCATTTGTCCCCTGGCAATATGGGGGAGGTGGTGCTCTAAGTGCCTGGTCACCCATCTGTACACTGCAGTGGTTGTGTTGTGAAGAAGGTTAGCAGCTGAGGTCAGATATTTGCATGCTTCCATTTAATGGAGCTTATTATTGGAGTTCATTAAAAGCCCATGCTGGAACAGGAAATGAGAGGTGGCTAGTCCAGGGAAAAACTGGAGGTTCAAATAGAAGAAAAATAACCATTGCATGAGTTTGTATGGAGTATTCAACATCTCAAAAAAATGATGTGGTGAAGATATTGACCATTGCAACAAATGCGTTTGTGATTAATAGACAAGCCCACATCTGCTTTCAGTCTAGCATTTGCTACAGTGCTTCAAACACAGAAGAGGATGTGGCCTTTGTCTTTTGGAGGCAGTGTGTTGATACATGTGTCTGTCTTTTAATCCAGAAAACAGACATCAAAGATAATGATCAGACAGAACAAGTACGACTCTTTTTCACAAGAGATTTATGGCTCCAATAAACAAGGGTCCTGCTTGTAATCATTTGTTCTCACTAAGCTAAGCAGAGAGTTTACATTGGCTCCCAGCAGCACAAGTTTGATTGCTTTCAGATATAATCAACAGTCATGCATCTTGGTTAATGATGGCTCCAGTGCTTTTAATTCAATCACACTTTGTTTTGACTGTTCCCTTAGTTGGTAACACTTTATAATAACTGCATGCTATTAATCATTTGTTAAGCATGAGTAAACAGTTAATTCATCATTTATAAAGCAGTAATAGACATTAATAAGCAGTTTATAAATACAGCTATAAACGCTTTTTTCTTTATTTATAAGCATATCCATAATGCGTTTGATAATTGTATTTTCATACTTTGTTAATGATCAATTAATAATTTCTAAATGAAGTATAGCATTGTTTATAAACCAGTTATTTAAGAGTTGTCAGTCATTCATAAGATCACTTAGAAAGTGTAAGTAAATGTACAGGTAGTTATAAAGCATTTGGTAGTGGTCAGTTAACTATTTTGTGAGCTAATCTAAAGTGAGGACTATTCATGCCTTGTAAAGCATTTATAAAGGATATTTAAAGGCGCATCAATCTTCTAAACAGTAAAATGTAACAAACACAACACAGTGATACAGAACATAGAAATATTTAACAGCCTTTAAATCTCCTTTATAAATGCTTTACAAGGCATGAATAGTCCTCACTTTAGATGAGCTCACAAACATAGTTAACTGACCACTACTAAATGCTTTATAACTACCCGAATTAACCCTGATTTACAGCATAAATACATGTTAATAAAGCATTTATTAACCATCACTATATGTCTGAATAATAAGATGTATGAATGTACATTTAAATAGTTTATTAATCATTTACTTACACGTTCTAAGTAATCTTATGAACCACTGAAAACTCTTAAATAACTGGTTTATAAAAAATGCAATTACTCATTTAGAAATAATAAATTGATCATTAATAAAGGATGAAAATACAATTATTAAATAAATTGTAGATATGCTTGTAAATCAAGAAGAAAGCATTTATAGCTGTTTTTATAAACTGCTTATTAATGTCTATTAATGCTTTATGAATGATGAATTAACTGTTTACTCATGCTTAACTAATGATTATTAGCGTGTAGTTATTATAAAGTGTTACCCATTAGGTTTATTCTTGACTTCTCTTTGTGTTTCAGAATCAGCCGCTTGATTGGATACCAACCAGAGGAACTTCTTGGCCGTTCGATGTATGAGTTTTGCCATGCTTTGGATTCTGAAAGCATAACAAAGAGCCACCAAAATCGTGAGTACCTGTCTACATCCAACAAAAACAAAGCCAAGAAACACAAACACATTAAAAGTCAGATTTCGTGTGGTCCTTTTCTGTTTAGACATGAAACAGCTAAACAGATTTGAATTGGAGATGCCAGTCTGAACAAAGGCATAAAGCAAACAAAGTGTTTGATCCGTTCTCTTTACCTCCATTTTCTGCAGTGGATCAAACACACCAGAAACAACGCAGTAGCTTATTGTGTGAATACCGTTTTGGCTAATTTACCTATCTTTTAAGCAATCTTGACTTCGTCCTGAAATGACTCACGGTCTGGAACAGAACCATACCTCTCATCTCTGTCCATGGGTAAACTACGTGTGTTCAAAACCTTGAAGACCTGTGGTGTTCCCATGGGCTTGATGACTGAGGGAAACAGATGTCCCGCCGGGCTCCAGGAATTGTTGAGGGATATTTATAAACTGAATGGTTGTTGCATTGCATTATTTATTTGCTTAGCAGATGCCGTAGACTACGTTTAATGTTTTCGGACACTTTGCTTTTAAAATTGCCCTCCTAAGATCTTAAACCTACCATATAGTTCTAACCTTAAAAACTATTTGAAAAAAATCTACATTTTGTAGTGCATTGTTATATATGGAAGCCCATTTTCGTTCACAAGAAGAAAAAACATGCTTTGGTAAATCTTAATTTTGAGATAAAGTCACATGACCTAATTACGAGATAGAAAGTTGAATTTATAACATAAAAACGTTAAAAGTCATAATTTAGTATGTCATATTTATGGTTTTATCCCATCATTTTTGCTTTTTATATCAATTCCGACATTTTATCTTATAATTATACATTTTTAATCTCATAACTATGCTTTACCAAAGCATAATTTATTTTCTTATGTGATGGAAATGGGTTTTCATAGTTATGTAAATCCATAGCTATTTTATTGATTACGTATTGATTTATTTACATTATTTGTATTTTTAATGTAGTATCTCAGGCATAAGCAGTGCATAAACTTTTTATTGTACAGGTGCAATGAGACTAGTTCCCTCACATACAATAGCTTTCAGTTTCGTCCGACTTAGACCACAAAATGAACCCACTGTTTACAAATGCTCCTGTCAAATCTGATATTGAATGTGATTTTCTTTTTGTATATTTAGAGGACACTGATTTGATTGTTGTGTCCACATTGAGGCTGAGTAGATGACCTGAATCCCATTAGATGTCCTTTGACATCATCTATAACAACCAAAAAGCTCTCAGATTTGCTCCTTTAGGATGGCCCACCTGATTAGCTAGTGCATTAGCGGCTAACAAGCCTTTGAAGTGTACAGCACCTCTGTTCTGGTTCCTCTGATGTCTTTAATCCAGATCAGTGCTCTGGTATTCTTCACTGGCCTCTTCCAGTGATAAAGTATTACCTAATTGTAAGATCTTTTGATTTGAAAAAATGACTACATACATGATCTGCAGTAATGGACCTTATTCAAAGGCAGTATTAAGCCATTTACATGGTGTTACATTTTAAAACTATTCAGTAACACTTTACAATAAGATCTCCTCTGTTAACATTAACTAACATTAACTAGCAGTGAGCAATATATTCTTACAGCATTTATTAACAAAGGTTCATGTTAGTTCACATGTTCTAATGTTAACATAGGCCTAACTTTTGATCTTAAAGATGTATTAGTAAATGATGAGATTAACATGAACTAAGATTAATAAATACTGTAATAAGTATTGCTTCAAGATGCGGAGCCTATCCCAAATAATGTCTAACAAGGAAAGTTAATGTCTGCATTATCAAATAATTAATTTGCCATTTATGTTACAAAACACTTTGAAAACACAGATAGATGTGTATTATGGTTAGAAGATATACTTTAATAATCCATCTACTCCAGATCTGAATATGACCATTGAAATTAATGCAATCATGCTGTTTAATTGCAGTGCTTATTCTGAGTATTGTCAATAGTCATATTAGTTGAATGCATGTACGTTAATGTCCTGGCTATTGAACCTAAATGGAGATGTTGAACTTTTTCATGACTTTTACTGTAATATCTTCATTTTATGGAGGATTATGAGTGTGCATTTTATTTACACTTTATTTTTTATTTAATTAACTAGTCATGTTTCAGATGTTTAAACACAACACATATGCAACTATTTAATAAAAAAGTTTAATTAATTAAAAATTGTGTACAATTATTTAAAATGTTTGTTACATTTAAAAATTAAATAATAACTTATTATTAGATGCCTGTCCAATGGAATTTTTAACTTGATTATCAACTGATGAAGAAATATATTTGGCATAAATATATAGTGTGTCAATTTATTATTAGTTACATCTAACAGTTTAGGCCATTTCCTCTTTTTCTGTTTTCGTCTTCAGTTTGTAACAAGGGCCAAGTGGTGAGTGGCCTGTACAGAATGCTAGCGAAGCATGGGGGCTACGTTTGGGTGGAGACCCAGGCAACCGTCATCTACAACAACCGCAACTCCCAACCACAGTGCATCATCTGCATCAATTACGTCCTGAGGTACTGTATTAAACGATGATACTAAATGATGATACTAAATGATGATACTAAATGATGATACTGATACTTATGGTACTGTTCTCACGCTGTTGTTGTATTTCAGTTCTGTTGAGGAGCAGTCCCTCATCTTCTCCCTGGATCAGACGGAGGCTTTTTTCAAGCCTTACCACATGCGTAGCATGGAAGAACTGTTCAGCCAGGGTGGAGCTTCCTCCGTTTCAGAAGCTCAGGACATTCTTTTCACTAAGCTCAAGGAGGAGCCTGAGGAGTTAGCTAAGTTAGCGCCCATGCCAGGAGACGCCATCATCGCCCTAGACTTTGGTCAGAGCGCCACCCGGCACTACTTTAACCATTCCCCCTACAATACCTTCACCCTCTTCACATCCTCAACCCCCGATTACAAAACTACTCCCATCCTTCATGCATGAACTCTCACTCCTTCCCTTGGCTCTCCTTACTCTACCTCACAATCACAACCACACACATACACTGCCCAGGTCATAAGTTGTTGTACGTTGTTGTACTGTAGCTCAGTAGCACTGTAGCTTGGCTTTGCTGCAGGGTACGCAACATGTGACAAAAATAAAAGGAAGCTGAATCTTTCTGCTCCACAGCACATGAGCATCTTATGGCTTAGCGTTGGCTTTAGCATAAACAATTTTGTATTATTGAAAATACAGTTTTTGTTTGTTTGTTTTTTATAATAAAAGTAAATGATATTTCAACATCTTTCAACACCTGTGTTTTTGAAGGTTTACCAATGACAGCTGGCAGTGTTTGTGTGTTTATTACCCTCACCACGGGGCTATAATGGGTATACTAATTTCACTTTTCATCACAATGCATGTCTTTACAAGTAAAACCACTGCATGCAATGGAAATCACCACCTAGTGACACTTTCAACAGTTTTAATTGTTTTTGGTGATGGCTGAGGTTGTTTTTAACATCCTAATTAATTATGTTACCATTTATTCTCATGTAACTCGCACTCTGAAAATGAGCCAGATCATAGTCAACACTAAACTTTTGCACATTGTGTTGTTTAAGGTGTGTCTATCCACTGTTAGTTGATCTTCCATTGCTCTGTATGTAGTAATTCTATGATACTGCATCTCATTTAAGTTATTTTTATCCCACATGTTGAACTGTGACGTCAGAGGCATTGTTTGACTTGTTACTGTGTCATGTCCAATGCATTTGCAGAAAGGCCAGAGTTTGAAGAACCTACTTACTTCTCCAAGTCCACCAAGCTTCCTGTGATGGGACAGTCATGGGTTGTGGACACTCCACCTGATGGCAGTCCTGATAGAAACCTGTCCAGCATTCTCTCCACCTTCACCGTACCCCAGGCGCCTCCTGTGGGCAATTGCACGCCCTGTACCACACCCTGCTTGAGTGGCTGCAGCAGTAGTTCTACAGTACGTCCCATCCCCATCTGTGACACCAAGGACATATCATCCTTTTTTAATTACTTATTTTTTCCAACTGGTATATTACTTTACATGTTGCTGTCCCTTAAAGATTTCTATATTTAAACAATTTAAAATGTTAAACAGTATGTTTTCATAGTACATTGAAATCTCAAAAGATCCAGGAAAATTGGTTTCCTACTAACATGACCTCTTTAAATGTAATTATGATTTGTTTTACATGTTGGTGTTTAAGTGGTTTAATGTGTTTGTCTGCAGCCTAGCAGTCCAGTAGATTACTGTGGCAGTGGAGAGAGTGATCTGAAGGTGGAACTGACAGAGAAGCTATTTGCTCCTGAATCTGTAGCAACAAATCCCACAGACTCCCAGGTGAGTGAGGCATTTCATCCGTAATAGTTCAGATCAGATGACATAGATTCTACCCCAGGGTTCTTTTTTTTTGTACACAGTTTCAGTCATAGTCTTTGGCTTTTGATGAAAATATCATTTAAATTTAGTCAATATTTTGTCATATTCATTAATTTAGACAATTTTACTCTATTTGATTACAATTAAATATAACTTTAATAAACAAAAAACTGTAACAGACCATTCTTTAACAATGTGAGTTACACATTATGACTAGCTTGTAAGTTCGAGTTCACCTGTTCATTCACTTCAATGCCTGTGCAGATGCAAGACATACAATATTACATTTACTTTGTGGAGATGGCTGGCTGATTAATCACATATACACTACTATACATTTAATTTAAAAATAAATGAATACTTTTATTCAGCAAGGACACATTAAATGGGTCAAAAGTGACAGTAAAGAATTTTACGATGTTATAAAAAAAACATTGAACTTTTGAACTTTCTTTTCATCAAAGAATCCTGAAAAAATGTGTCACTGATTCCACAAACAAATTGAGCAGCGCAACTGTTTTCAACATTGATAATAATAAGAAATATTTCTTGAGCATATTAGAATGATTTCTGAAGGACCATGTGACACAGAAGACTGGAGTAATGGCTGCTAAAAAATACATTTGCCATTACCGGAATAAATTACATTCTAAAATATATAAAAATAGTAAACAGTTATTTTAAATTGTAATAATATTTGACAATATTATTATATAATGATATATCAGCTCTTTCACTCCAATTCCTGGCATACTTGTCACTGATTTGAACCAATTCGTTGTATCGCAAGTATTTTTTTTCTCATCAAGTGTTTTAAATGAATTTTTGGTTGACATGATATCTAACTGTGTGCAGTTGGACCTGAGCGATCTGGACTTGGAGACTCTTGCTCCATATATCCCAATGGACGATGAGGACTTCCAGCTGCACCCCGTTTGTCTAGAGGAGCCGGCGCCTGACACAAGTCCAGACCTGAGCAAAGCCCTCCAGCACAGCTTCAGCAGTGTAGCTGACCTCTTCCAGCCCCTGAGTCCATTCCCTCCTGACAACAAGAGCAGTCCTCACACGTGTCCAGACACGGCTCATGTGCAGCCTTTCCAAACCGCACTAAACGTCCCACTCTCTTCTGAGGAGGGTAGACAGAGTCTTCAGTGGCCCCCTGACCCACCATCACAATATCAACGCACAGATATTAGATGCATGGATGACGGAAACACAACAGATCCAGGACAAACATGCAATTTCACTGCTGGACTGCCACAGCAAAGGTGAATAGAGTTCATTATTCCCTAACACATGCATTTTATTTTTGCAATACATGACCTAGGCATCAATGATTAACTAGATTAGAATTTAGTGCAAGTCAAGCAGACAGCCGAATGGGGTTTTAAAACTTTTTGATGAAAGTGCAACTAAATATAAAGCCAGCTATATATTTTTATGCATAAATACCTATTTATACTCTGTGAGAAAATCGTTGTTTGCAATTTTTAAAAAAAATGATGCTTTTATATTTTCATAGCACTTAAGCCAAAATAATTTAAAATATTACCTGGAAAATATACTTTGTTTTAAATTGCATTGTTAGATATACAACAAAATAGACTTTGAGTTCAATTAAAATGACTTTTTAAAAATTAATTTTACTTTTTAAAATTTCCACAATTAAAACATTGTTCCAAAGCTTTACAGAGAATACTGTTAAGTTTTTATGGAGTTCTGGACCCAAGTTTGAAAAACCCTGCTTTAGAACAAACACCTACAGTAATCAGAAAATTTTAAGGAATTTCAATGCATTCCTGCCCTGTACATACATTAATGTTCAAACGTTTTTGAAAGTCTCTTTTGCTCACCAAGGCTGCATTTATTTGATTAAAAGAAAAACTTAAAAACAGCTATGTGAAATATTATTACAATTTAAATAACTGTTTTCTATTTGAATATATTTAAAAATGTTATTTATTACTGTGATGACAAAGCTGAATTTTCATTATTTGACAAAGCTGTCTCATATTCATAGTAATATACACTGTCTTCGTAAATCTAAAGTCTTTGATTTAATGCAACTATTAACTATTAAAACTATTATTTTCTTTAAAAAAAAAAAAAAAACTTTATTGACCCCAAACTATTGGACAGTAGTGCACTATAACAAAGGTCATAATGTTCATTGATGAATTTATTTGTTTATTTTTAGGTTCTTTGAGAGCTTTGCCCCTGTACAGAAAAGCATGAGTATGGGACAGACCGCTCTCCACAACAACTTCAAACGGAAGCGGCCGTCAGAGTTCGGTTTGTCATGCTCTTTCTCCGATATTCCAAAGGTAAGCTCTCAGATCTCAATATAGACTAATGTAAATGAGTGAAGTTTATATAGTGATACCAAAGACAGAATATCAACTTAACATGCGTGTTCAGCAGGTGGTACCGCCTCACAAGTCTACAGATGGAATGCGAAAAAGGATGAAGACGATGAACGTCGACAGCTGTGCCTTCTCTGTCAGAAAGTCTCTCAGCACGAGTGTTCTCACAGGTACATCAACTCTCTCTCTCTCTCTCTCTCTCTCTTTCTCTTTTCTAATTTTTCTATACCCAAATTTACACACTCCGTTGTTCCTTCTTCATAGACAAATTTCCATGCATGCAAAGTGGATCTGTCAAAGGGACCTCAGAGGATCTCAAACAGCATTTCACAGAGTCATTCTGCTCTCCCAGTAACAGACAATACCACATGATGCCTTCACACAAACACTCAGGTCAGTCACGCCAGCCCTTACAGCACAAACCAAAATATTACCAACACTTCAATAGTGACACATATTTCCAACATGATTCATATCTTGGCAGCATCGAAGGGATCATTTAAATAAAATAATATTTAAATCATTTTATTATTTACGCACCCTCATATCATTCCGAACCCGTATGAATTTTTTTCTCCTGTAAAACACAAAACGAGATGTTTAGGAGAATGTTCACGCCAAACCGTTCAATAGTTTGGGGTTGGTACATTTTTTAAATGTTTTTGAAAGAAGTCTGTTCTGCTCACCAAGGCTGCATTTATTTGATGAAAAATACAGTAAAAACAGTAATATTGTGAAATATTATCACAATTCAAAATAACTTTGTTCCATTTTATTATATTTTGAAATGTAATTTATTCCTGTGATGGCAAAGCTGAATTTTAAGCAGCCATTACTCCAGTTTTCAATGTCACATGATCCTTCAGAAATCATTCTGATATGCTGAGTTGCTGCAAGTAACATTGCTTCTTATTATCAATGTTGAAAACAGTTGGGCTGATTAATATTTTTGGGGAAACAACATTTATTTTGATGTATGAAATAAAAAAACAGCATTTATTTGAAATACATTTTACGTTTACATTTAATCATTTAGCAGATGCTTTTATCCAAAGCGACTTAATAAATCTTTTGTATCATTACTGTCTTCACTGTCACTTTTGATCGGTTTAATAGGTCGTTGTTGAAAATCCTTGTGTATATATTCCAAATTTCGGAAGTCATACAATAGATTTGTGCAGACCAGACCAGAATTGGACCAATTGTGTCTTTTTCTATGTGACATTTTGAGTTACAGGTCTCTCTTATTTTTGACAGGCATGATAAGTCAACTGTTGGGCCCATCCTTTGACTCGTACTGTCTGCCAGAGCTGACACGATATGACTGCGAGGTAAACGTGCCTCTACAGGGAAACTTGCATTTGCTTCAGGGCAGTGACCTTCTGAGAGCCTTGGACCAGATCAAGTAAACCCAGAGCTTCTTCAGCGATCCATTCACCCAATGCTTTTTCATCCCATCTTTGTCTGTATATGCTATTGTTGTCTTGTATGCATGTATTATCAGCCTTTATTTAGACCTATGTGTACATTTTCCTTTAACATCTATGTGATATTTTAATATATATTTGAAAAATCTGATTGTTACTTGTTTAGAATGTGTTCGGACGTACCACATTCTGTGCTATATCTCAGACTCTAATATTGTCTTGTGCCTTCAGATGCTAAGTGTTCTTAACATTTATGCTCAGATTTACCAGATTCACTGTTGCAGACTTTGCTATGTATATGAATAACAACTAACTAGAGCATATACAAAATATAATATTATATATAGTAGAAATGGTAGTTTAATTTGTAACTTATTCATTCAGCTTGGTATACAAATACTATGTTTATATAAGTCAAAGAGAGTTAAATGTTTTGCAAAAACTATTGCCTTAAATATGTGTTTCGAATTTGTACCAGCAACAAATGTGGCTTAAAACCGTGTCTCTCGGAAATGTTTCTGTTTAGAACATTATTAGTGGACACAATCAACACAAGTCCCCTCAACACAATCATAATGAGTAAAATGCTGTATTAAATGTATAGTTTCTGTCATTAAAAGCACTTTATTTTAGAAGATGCAAATGGAAGACCAAAATGAAAAAGCCCCAGTATAGTGGTATGTCTCGGCCATCTTCTCAGGCCCACCAAACACTAACCCTTCTCTATAATATCTTTTTTCTTTAATAACTGAATTGTAAATTCAAAATATTATGGTCTTATACAAACATATATTGTGTCTACATTAGATGAGGTTAGAGTGCTATGCTCCGGATCTCTGTAACACGTCGAATAATGTTTGTATTTGGTGTTCAGAAGTGCCTTGGTACTTGGTCTTGTCTACCTAGCAGTAGACAGAGATGAATCTGTAGCTTTCTCATTTACAGTACATACCTAATATATACGGTTATTCGATTTGGTATCGTGTACCACCTTCTCGTGATACATTGGGGTTTCTGTGTGTTTCTTAACAAAATATATAAAGCAAATTTTATCTTATAGTTTTCGAGAGAGTCTGTGATTGTTTGTTCTCAGGATAGTCATTTAAAGTAACAAGCATTTGTTTTCCAGTCTTTCTTTGTAGCATTGAAAGATATGAAAGATTGCATTATGTCTAAAGCAAATTAAAACGTAAATGGTGCTACTTGCAAATCATTCTCAGCTTATTTCCATCCTCACCTGTCACCCTTCTTTTATGAGCTTGAATGGTTGTAATTCATGAATGCTTTGCAATACAGACCTAAGATTGGTCTCTTTAAAGAAGACACTGAAGTGGAACCAGCTGCACATTTTACTGTAAAACAAATTTACTAAAGTTTTTTTTTTCATACAATATATACTGTATATATATATATATATATATAAAATTATTTGAACTCTAAAATTGCTAGAAAATCAAATCCATATATCTAACCAAGTTGTTTCCAAATTTAAAATTGGTATCACAAAAATTGAGTCCGCTAAAGCTTTTAAAGTACCGTTTAAGCAATGTTAATTTCAAGTTTCAGTTTTTACAGGATGAAATTGGAGTGTTTAAGCTTTCAAATGATACCTAATTTATGATGATTACTAAAATATGTTTATCACTTTGCTTTATTGTTTCAATAATCTTCTAGTTTGCCAAGCTCTATTGTTATTATTGTATGGCTTTTATTTATATAAATTTTGAGAGATACAGTATCTGCTCAATCTTCCCACTGCTGCAGTTCTTATAGACTTCCACTGACTGACCACACACACACACTAACACACACACACACACATTCATACAAATGAACATCTGCATTCAGAGCTGGATTATGGACCTGGGCTGCGTGAAACTCAAAAGTATTGTGAGCTAAGTTGATCGTATAGAGGCCAATGATTACGATGGTTCTACGATCTATAGCTTACGATGCTTTGAGGAAATGACACCTGGTCAGTGAGCCTCATATACAGTAGATACAGTATGAGTACTATAGTATTAAATTAGTGATTTTAAAATATATTGGGGGAAAGGGTATAAATTGATGTTTATCAGCACATTTATGCAGCATAATATTATACAGCAATATTTACTATACATGTAAACGAATTCACTACCGCAAATTTACATTATCATTGCACCTTATGCATATGATTAATCACCCTGACTTATGGGAGTTTAAGAATGTTCAAGCAAGCCAAAAGAAATGGCAGGATATACAGAAAATTAACTTGTTTTTAATGACATAACAATTATGCTACAGGAACATTCCGATCCAGGCCTCTGTATCCCACAAGACCATGATACTGTTGGCCGCAAACAAATGTGTAGCGCCAAAATACACAAATGACCATATAAGGGATAAATATTTAAACACTGAACAGGCACACACTTCCTATCAACTGCTTCTGGGAGTCGAGGAAACCTGAGAGAATTGATAAAAACAAAAATATACAGGCTGCATGAAATTGATAGGTGTTCATGTGTGTAGATCAAGGACACACTCTTAAAAATAATGGTTCTTTATTGGCGCCATATGGTTCCATGAAATACCTTTAACATCCATGGAATCTTCCCATTGCACAAGAGGTTCTTTATAGTGGAAAAAAAGTATCTTCAGATTATTAATGTGTTCAGATTATTAAAATGTTTTTCACACAATAAAATGGTTCTTTTTAGAACTTTTCACTGAAAGGTTTTTTTGTGGAAACCCAAAATGGTTATTCTATGGCATCACTGTGAAAACTCCCTTTTGGAACAACTATTTTTTGGGAATTCAGTGGGATAATTTGAGTAAGAGATGAGAGTAAGATGTGTAAGATCCTTTCATTTAGATGCTGTCTACCTCAGAAAGGTAACAGCATCCTGATGTTGAAAGGCTGCAGCTTGGATGTCATAAAATTCAGAATAAATAGACTGGCTTGTATGGATTTGGATGTGTGGAACTGGATGCGTGAGGATTTCTCAGAGTTTCTATGCTACTCCCACATAAGATAAGGGTTATTCTCTTTAGAAATCAAAGAACTGTGTTCATTTGTAGCTGAGAAACAAAAAAGAGAAGAATTGAAATATCATACAATATCGTGACTATTGAGATGTTGTTTTTCAAGGATGGCTGTGTGCGTCCATGCTACAACCACAATAAAAGGCATTGTGTTCATGTCTATCTGAGAAACAAAAAATGTAAAAGAATGGAAATATTATCATAATTTTTAAGCCAAGATACAATCTGATTGCAAGAACACTGGCACACTTTCAGAGAGGAAGTTTCCACAATGTGATGAGGTTAAAAGTGAGTGATTTTGTTTAATATTGTCCATATGAAGTCAGCAATATGTATCCAGTAATTGTTCCAGTGTGACAATAGATGTTTCATAACCTTAATCACGTCACTGATGCAATCTGTTACTATTGGGGTCAAACTTAAATATTATGTAACTAGTTCCATGTGGTTCCTAGAAATCTTTCTAGCCATTAATCAAAATAATCTGGGTAAACCAGGCAAATCCTTTATATATAAGTCTTTTTTTTAAAACACCATAACTTTGCCTGCAATTAAATATTAAATTAGCTTTTTTTAATCATTTCACCCTAATATTTAGCCATGCATCTTACCTTATTCTGGATTTCTTTGGTTATTTATTTGCTATTCGTAAATAATTATATAGTAACACACTATTTTTATTTTGTGCATTTTTATCTACATTTTGTAGAGTACAGACGTGCAACAGTAAAGGTTTCAAATTAATTATTAAACAATGCATCATCAAGTATAGTTATTTTTTAACTTTATTTTCATGTGTTGATTTGTTAAAGCACCTCTTAAAACTTGTATCTGAGAGCATATAACATAACATAACAGAAGTGAGACTGATAGACTGTTTGTCAAACTTGTTTATTTTTGCAATTGCCTTTTCTCATGAAAGATGTGGATGGAAGCCAAGCAGCCTTATTCCCAATGGGATTACAGGCCTCTTTAAGAGCCTCCCATAATGTGCAGCTTCTTAGTGGCAGACCATTATTTTCCATGGAGAAGGGAAACACAAATAAGGAAGAGTCAATAGATCATTAGAATACAATAATGCCACAATCAAGAAGAATTAGGCCTATATAAAATAAAATATACATCTAACAGTTACATTTAAATTAGGCCTAGAAATAAGGATAAGAACAGCCACTTAGGATTTAATATGGCATCCGAAATCATTTTTATGTTTATTATAGTTTCTCAAGTTAAAGCTGCAGTCCGTAACTTTTTTGGGTTAAAAATTACCCAAAATAAATTTTTGAGCAAGTACATAACCAGCCTGTGTTTAAAACTATCTGCTTGCCTTAGCTCGTTTCAAAACGGTAAGCTTGAAATAATGTTTATAATTCCAGTGGTACTGGTGGATTTCCGCGGGAAATTCAAGCATGTCTTTGCGTCATTACGTCACATCTGTACACATAAAGAACGAGTCTCGGCTAGTAGGCTATATTGCGTGTGAAGATGTTGGAGGTGGAGATATATAGCCTTTTCTCACAGCACTTAATATAATTAAACTTATCAATTTGATGGCGGATCCAGAAAGGTTTAAACGACAATTACCAGTGACAACTGGAGATTCACCCGTTGTAAAATGCAAAAGATTTTGGAGTGGCTACAGAAAAAAAGAGACCGCAACCAGGCCCATGCGAAAACAAGGATAATATCGGAATGGCTTCAATTATGTAGTAGCGCACTTGTTCGCTTAATTCATACAGTTACGGAGTAGTGAACTGCAGGTAGCCCTAATACACATTAAATGTAGTCACGCAATGCTGATGTTGTTAACATTAAAGATTTTAGAACAAAGTATAATTTGCACCGATTTACTGAATGTTTTTTGGGTTTTTTTCCTTAGTTGGTCAGAACAAAAGTGGATGTTACTTACTTGTTCAGATGACATGGATTTTCTGGTGAAAATTCTTATGTTTGTCATACTTCCAAAAAGTATAATCTGTGATTCCGAATGACAGTATCCACACCGGCGCGGTGACTGACAGCCACACATTCTCCTCAAAACATTGGATTCATCCGCGCTGTGCCGTGCCGAGGCACAACCCACGTAAAGTTGATAATTCCGCAAATAACTGCAATTGCAGATTT